CGGAGAAGGAAACTGCATAAACATATTTTTTCGGAGGTCCGCGCGGACCTCCGAAAGTGTATGTCTATGCCCTCTTTTGTTCCTCTATTGTCAGCCGCCGTGCTTCAGTCAGGAGGGTAGCCTCCTCATCTTCCCCTGAGATCCGACGTTTCCCCAAAAATGCAACATCGCGGACAATCACGACCGGAGCCCCAGACCCCATCCTCCTGCGCCATTTTTCGAGCTGGATCCGTCTCTGAGGTCCCTGGGGCCCGAAGTGGAGCGCAGGCGCCATTTGTGGAAAGATTGCAGCGCCAGGGTCTCAGGGCTCCTCGCGCCTCGGGGCGACGACGAGGCTTCTGGCACCAGCATCGACGTGGGCAAGGAGCCCATCATCGGCATGCCCGACATCCCGGCGGTGATCACTGGCCTTCAGGAACCGCTGCGGGTGGCGCGGGGCCCAGACCCCCTCGCCGCTCGAAGCCTGGAGGTCGTCACTCGAGGTGTTCGAACGTCCTCCTCCTCATCCTCCTTCTCCTCCTCCTCCTCTTCCCCCCTCTCCTCCTTCTCCTTCTTCTCCTCCTCCTCCTCCTCCTCCTCTTCCTCCTCCTCCTATTCCCCCTCCTCCTCCTCCTCCTCCTCCTCCTCCACCATTCCTTGTCTTGAAAGATACTTATTCTCTGTCGCACGCCGCGGCCAGTCGAAAGGGCGGGCCGGGCGTTTCGCCTGAGATTTTCTCACCACTGATGACCCTGAAGGTTAGAATTGACAACGTTTTTCAGAAATGGAGGGCGGGTCGGTTTCAACATGTGCGCCGCGCGCATTCGTTTTAAACATCTGCCAGAGTTTCACGGATTGAGGGCGGGTGGTTTTCAAAATGTGGTTCTCGCCTTAGCACTGCGCATATTCGTGCCAACAAATTGCAAGATGTTCAAGGATTGAGGGCGGCTCGTTTTCAAAATGTGGCTCTCGCCTTAGCGCCGCGTGTAGTCCTTTTTAGACATTGCTAGAATTGTTCGGATTCATATGGTCAGCGTACCAGAGTGTGTGTGTTTTTGAAAGATTCAGGATTGTGAAGGTGCAGCAATGACGTCGATTCGCGCTGGTGAAGTCCCAGGAATGGCGTTCTGGCACGATGCAGGATCGTCGAGGCACAACAGTCAGGTGGATCCTTGGCGTCGGAGTCCCGAGAACAATGTTTGGGCATGCTTCCGGGTCTTCGAACGGTTCCAGCGAGGAAGTTCCCGCAGTGGAAATGAACCCCTTGTAAAGGCCTATGAAGAGGAAGCTTGGAGGGAGGGTATATTCCGGCATCGTTGATGACTCTTGGGTTTACATTGGTCCTCCTGCTCCTCCTCCTCCTCCTCCTCCTTTTGCTGTTGCTTCTAGGAGGTTGTCCGCCCTCGGGATGCTTTCCTGCAGCTGCGCCTCGCCGAGAGCGTGCCGGGTGTGCCCGAAGAGGTTTTATGACGTTTTTGTTGTTCCAAGGAGGTTGTCCAGCCTCTGGATGCTTTCCTGCAGCTGCGCCTCGCTGAGAGCGTTCTGGGGGTGCTCGGATTTTCCCGAACGGCCGCCGGGGGCCCAATTCATGGTCTGAAAATCACCATGCAAGCCAGACCCCCTCGCGCCGGCAAAGAACAAGCTCGACGGACGATTTTGCTGCCATTCTCTGCCTCTGGGGGCCCCCAGCGGCCCTAGGACAAAAAACGACTCACAGGATGCGAAGAGGTCGGCGTTGTGACGAAGAGCACGACGTCGGGGACATGGGGAGGAAAGGATAATCGCCGTGGGACAAGCGGGTCCTCATGGAAACGGGTCCTGGGGGTTCTCCCCGCTTCTCGGGGCCCTCCACGGGCCCCGTGGGTTCGGAGGAGGAGGCGGAGGAGGAGGTCGCCGTGGGGCCCAGGGTGGATCTGAGGGGAGCGGCTCCTCAGCTTTGTTGCCCTGCTACGCCCGTGCAGACATGCAGCAAGTGCCGGGGTCAAGATGTCCGTGCTGACGCGCTGCGTGTTTTTGCTCGGCACGTGTTGGCCCGCGTCTTGGCGAGCGTATCGCGCCAGAGCTGCGCTGTCGTGCCGCGCGTTGAGCTCCGTGCCAACACGCTGCGGATTGCGTGCTGCGTATCGGGGCGGCCGAGTTCCGGAGGTCTTCCCCGTCGTCTCGGGGCCCTCTTGGGCCCCGTCTTGGGCGCCTCTCCGTCTTGGGGCTGTCCTGGGGCCCTCTTGGAGGCCTCTTTGGCTGTTTTGGGGGTGCTTTCCATCAGATGCGCCTCGTCACTGGCGTCTGGGGGCGCTTGGATCAGCCCCAACGGATGCCGGAGACCCGAGCTATGATCCGAAAACCACATCTTTGGGTATAGGCCCCTGATTGGAAAGGCTTCGGGTTGGTCACCGGCAGCTTCCCTAGGTAGTCCCATCTGGCCTCAACGGGCCCCCCGAGTAGTCCCAGCTGGCCTCAACAGGACCCCCGAGTCGTCCGGGGCGGTCTCAGCACCCTGGGGCTGCCTCCAGCGGCGCCTCTGGCGGCGCCGCTGGGGCGCTCCGCGCCCTAGGGTTGAGGTGTTGAGACTGCCCTGGGCTACATTCGGGGGGCCCGATGAGGCCAACTGGGACCACTCGGAGGGCCTGCGAAGGTCAGCTGGGACTACCTGGGGGGCTGTCTGTGCGCAGCCCGAAGCCTTCGCAATCGCGCGTTCAACGTGTCAAACTGGTAGTCTAAGTCTGATCGAGATCACGGGTCGTGCTCACGTCCGGCCGCGAGCTTTTTTGGCTCAAGCAGTTTGGCCCGAGCTCCTTGTGTGGCCCCGAAGCTGTGGGGGGGGCAGCCCGGCCGCTCACCGCCCCGGGCGCGAGATCCGCGGCACGAGGCGGTCAGCCTCGTGCGCATCGCGGCCGCGGCAGCGGCATGCAGGGCACCCGCCAGGCCGACGGGGCAAGGCCTGCCGTCGACGATCGCTCGCTGAGGCCAGTGCGCGTCCAGCCCGAACTCGGCGGCAGCAGCAGCGACGGTGGTCTCGGGAGCGCCGCCGGGGGGTGCCACGCGCGGGCGGGGGCGCCCCTGGAGGCGCGCGGCGGCGCCGCGGGGAGGCCTCTCCGCGGGGGCGACGGTCAGGTCGGGAGCGCTGGCGGGAGCGCCGCCAGCCATGGGTCGCTCTCGGAGTATGCTCCTTCCTCCTCCTGGGGAACAGAAGATCACACATGGTTAATTTCTGATTCTTCGAAGGTTCTTTGATTACCTAACAGCGAAGACTGATAGGCTTCTAGTGGTGTCAAAAGAGAGCATCTGATGACTCAGAAGGGAGGTCTGGGCGGCATCCGGACAGCGAGGGCCGGGATCAGGGCCGGGCTCGTTTTAAGCAAACAGTCACACACTTCGTGCTCTTCGACCTCCCAGAACTCCATTCCGGGGCCACATTTTGAATGCCCGGAGCCAACTGTAGGCCACTTCGTGCTCTTCGACTTCCCAGAACTCCATTCCCGGGCCACATTTTGGATGCCCGGAGCCAACTGTAGGCCACTTCGTGCTCTTGGAGTTCCCAGACCTCCATTCCCGGGCCACATTTTGAATGCCCGGAGCCAACTGCAGGCCACGTCGTGGTCTTCGAGTTCGCAGAACTCCATTCCTGGGCATGATTTTGAATGCCCGGAGCCAACTGTAGGCCACTTCGTGTTCTTCGAGTTCCCAGAACTCCATTCCCGGGCTACATTGTGAATGCTGAGGCAGGCTGATGCTGAGGCTGAGGCAGGCTGAGGCTGAGGCAGGCTGAGGCTGAGGCCGAGGCTGAAGGCAGACTGAGGCTGAGGCTGAGGCAGGCTGAGGCTGAGGCTGAGGCAGGCTGATGCTGAGGCAGGCTGAGGCTGAGGCTGAGGCTGATGCAGGCTGAGGCTGAGGCAGGCTGAGGCTGAGGCCGAGGCTGAGGCAGACTGAGGCTGAGGCTGAAGCAGGCTGAGGCTGAGGCTGAGGCAGGCTGAGGCTGAGGCTGAGGCAGGCTGATGCTGAGGCAGGCTGAGGCTGAGGCTGAGGCTGATGCAGGCTGAGGCTGAGGCAGGCTGAGGCTGAGGCCGAGGCTGAAGGCAGACTGAGGCTGAGGCTGAAGCAGGCTGAGGCTGAGGCTGAGGCAGGCTGAGGCTGAGGCTGAGGCAGGCTGATGCTGAGGCAGGCTGAGGCTGAGGCTGAGGCTGATGCAGGCTGAGGCTGAGGCAGGCTGAGGCTGAGGCCGAGGCTGAAGGCAGACTGAGGCTGAGGCTGAAGCAGGCTGAGGCTGAAGAGGCTGAGGCTGAGGCAGGCTGAGGCTGAGGCTGAGGAGGCTGAGGCTGAGGCTGAGGCAGGCTGATGAGGCAGGCTGAGGCTGAGGCTGAGGCTGATGCAGGCTGAGGCTGAGGCAGGCTGAGGCTGAGGCCGAGGCTGAAGGCAGACTGAGGCTGAGGCTGAAGCAGGCTGAGGCTGAGGCTGAGGCTGAGGCAGGCTGAGGCTGAGGCAGGCTGAGGCTGAGGCTGAGGCTGATGCAGGCTGAGGCTGAGGGCTGAGGCTGGCCGAGGCTGAAGGCAGACTGAGGCTGAGGCTGAAGCAGGCTGAGGCTGAGGCTGAGGCAGGCTGAGGCTGAGGCTGAGGCAGGCTGATGCTGAGGCAGGCTGAGGCTGAGGCTGAGGCTGATGCAGGCTGAGGCTGAGGCAGGCTGAGGCTGAGGCCGAGGCTGAAGGCAGGCTGGCTGAGGCTGAAGCAGGCTGAGGCTGAGGCTGAGGCTGAGGCAGGCTGAGGCTGAGGCTGTGACTGCGACTGCCGTTGCCACTGCGACTGTCATCGCGAATGCGACTACGACTGCGAGAACAGCAGAATTCTACAACTGGATTCTCATCTGAATCTTAAGGGGAATGCTTCCAGATATGCTCCTACACATCGCTGTTAGGTTGCTTTGCCGGGATATATTTTTTTTGGGGGGGGGGCAAGATCCTTTCATTTATAGCTGTTCTGTCCTGGGCCTCTTCCTGGCCACTGGGGGGCCAGGAACAATTAGAAGCGAACACCATTAGAAAGGAGCACGGTTAGAAATGAACGCCGTGTACACAGACATGCACTTTCGGAGGTCCGCGTGGATATTTCTCAGGTCGGCGCTGGAGCCCCCTGGCGGCGCCTCCGGCGCCGCCCTTAGCGCGTGCCACGCTCCAGGGAGGGGGGTCCAGCGCTGGTCAAAGAAGTCAGCGCGGGCATCCGAAAGTTTAAGGTCTGTGTCATTGTCTGTTCCTCGAGCATCGGGCAGCCACTGCTCCCTCTCGGACCTCAGCGACAGCAGGTGGGGGGTCAGCGATTGGAGCGAGCACGAGAGCAGCGGCATCTCAGCGTCGGGCAGCTGCCACTCCGAGAACCACAGCCCTCGGCGCGCAGAGGAGAGCGAGGCCGTCGAGCAGCAGGACGCAGAGTGGCGGAGGGACAACGAGGCCCAGCACGCCGCCGGGACCTGCAAGCCGTGCCTCTACCACAGGACGGAGGCGGGCTGCGCGCTCGGCCGCGCGTGCAGATTCTACCACCTGCCGCACGCGGCCAGGCGCAGGGCGCGGCCGAGCACGGCCGGGAGGGCGCCCTGCGGGCAGCCGGCCGCGAGGCCGGACGGCAAGCGCGAGGGCGGCGCGGAGGCCGTGCGGGACTCGGCCGACGGCTGCCCCCTGGCCCAGCGGCACGTGCCCAGCGCTCTCCGCGAGGGGGGCCAGCAGCAGGGCCCGCTGGGGGCGGAGCCGGGCGGGGCGGCGCAGGCCGCCGCGGGCGAGGAGCCGAAGCGGCTCCCGAGCTGCGGCTAGGAGCGCGCGAGCCCGTGGGGAGCGGGGAGGGCCATCCGCCACGAAAAATATACACAGACACCCTCCGATGGATTGTTCCTGGGCCTCAGGGTCACGGTGGCGGTGTATCACTCACCGCTGAGAGCCAGCGACTTCATACACGCCGCCCTCCCTGAAGGTACATGCAGAGTTCGTCTGAGGGTGTCCGGCTTTATCCGAGTGAGGGGGCCGAACGGTCATTTTTTGTCCTTGGGTGCGTGGCTTGGGCTTCCGCGGTACGGATTGTTGTTGTTATTTGTTGTCGTCGTCCCGTCCGCGAACCGGCCCCCGACCGACCCACCCGCGACTCACCCGCGACCCACCCGCGACCCACCCGCGACCCACCCGCGACCCACCCGCGACCCACCCCGCGACCCACCCCGCGACCCATCTGAGACCCACCCCGCGACCCACCCGCGACTCGCCTGCGACCCACCCGCGACCCCACCCGCGCTCGCACCTCCACACTCAGCCGCAATTGCGGGGTGCTACTGTAATTTCGTGGCGTAGACCAAGTTAATTTGCTCCTGAGCGTTCCAGAGCGCTCTCAAGGCGTTGTGGGGCGCTCTGGACCGACCGCGATGCCCGAGACATCCTCCAGGACCGCCTGGTCTCAGGGATCTGCGATGTTGTCCCGATCCTTCGAGTAGGGGGTCGACTGCAGGATAGATTTACCCCAAACTTGTTCTGCTCATCGAAGTCCTGAGAATTGCAGAGAGTGCTCCTAGACCAAGGGGACATTCCACGAATGTTTCCTAGATTCGGCGAAACGAATCAGTTCTGGAATGCATCCAGTCTGTACGGCGGAGGCGTTTCTTAAAGAATCGTCCAGGGGGCGCCAAGTCCCAGAGGTTTCCTTATCCAATGCGGGCGGCGGTGATGGCCATGGCCGATGCACGACTGGAGTTCCACTGGCTTCCAGACCTTGGATCCCTTATCCATGAGGGTTCCTCCTCCGCTGCCCACACCGTACAGTGCCGTTTTTTATACATGCTCCGCGTGCGGATCATGCATTAAAATTGCGGGGATGTAGTATAAAACACAACGATGAGCTCATGCATAAATTCACACATGCATTTTAATCATGTATAAAAATCGTGTTACAAAAAAAACAAGACATGTGTATTAGAAACTGCCCTGCAGTCTACCTCCTGCTCGAAGCCTGGCCTCGCCCTCAAACTGCGCGGGGGGGGGCCTGGACGGGGGAAGCTCCCCGGAGCGGTCGCGGCTGCGGGGCGCGAGGCCGGGACCGTCGCGGCAGGGGCCGCCGCCGCCGCGCTTGGGCACCGCGGGCACCGCGGCAGCCACGCGGTGGGGTCGCGTCTCGGCGGCGAGCCGGCAGGGCTCTCTTCGATCCCTCCGATTCATGATTCGAGTCGAGTCGATGTCGACGGATTCCGATTCCGATGGGGTTCGACTTCGGATGGCGATTCGGGCTCCGATGGTTCTCCATGGGGGCCCACTGGGCTGCCAATTTCCGCCGATTCGACTTTTCCCGACTCGGCCGCCGATGTCCGCCGATCCGATTCACTTCGATCGCCGATCCGACTTGGCGATTCGCCTGGCCACGGGGGGAGTGAGAAGGGGCGGGCCTTCCCAGAAGGCTTGGAAGTCCCCCAGCCTTTGAGCTGTTGTCTACGCCTTCCCAGAGACACTGAGAAACACTTCTCGGAAGGCCAAAGGGGGCTTCTGAGAAGCTCCGCCGCCTTCTGAAAAGACCGTCTCCTTCTTGTTTCCGCCCCTCGCCCGCCGCCGGGTATCTGGTCCAGGTTCTCCCCTCGCAATTCGGTCGTAAGGATTTGAAGCATGAAGATCATGGTTTCCTCTCATGCGGTTCTGGCGCAATGAACAAAACCATGTGCCCACCCAGGTTTCGCAGAAGTTGATGTCAATGTGCACCGTCATCGGTTTGCAGGTTTACGGCGTATTCGGAACTACAGATGTTTGCCGGCGTGGACCCAGAGCAGCACCTTCATTTGTGTCGCTCACCCTGTGGCAGTCTCCACGCGCAGGTCTTCTTCAGAAGATCAGAGTTGGCAACGCATCGGCAACAACGTCTCGATCACCTCTCAAAGCAAATAGTTTTTTGTGGGAAATGTATCGGGCGAAGAGAACTATGCACATGCACCGATCCTGGCAAGGCCCATCCTTGACCCAGGATCGGTGCATATGCTGTCCTGGCCACGGTTGGAGGGCGTATGCACCGATCCTGGGCCCAGGATGGGCCTGGCCAGAGTCGGTGTATGTGCATAGTCTATAGTTCTCTTTCCTCTAGAAGCAAATTGTTTTTTTGCGAGAAGTAGAGATCACGCTTCAAATCCTTATGACAATTAGAGCGCTGGCCCCTGGCCGTGCGTGCGCGCGCCTGCCTGTCCTCGGCGGGCGCCTGCGGGAGGGGGGCATGGCACGGGATTCGAAGTCGTGTGCCATCCACCTGGCCGCCTGTTTGAAACCGTCCGCGGGTTTAGAATCGGGGGCGGCAAAGAGGGGGGTGATGACTAGGGGGGGGGATGTCATGGCGGGGGCCAAGATATTTCCCAGATTTCATGGCGCCTCTTCTTATTGCATTACGTCCCTGGCCCCCCCCGCCGGGCCGCGCATATGCCGCCAGTTATGATTTGCACCCCCCCTGTTGGACACCCCCCTCTTTGGCCGCTCCCGAAAACTCTGTGCGAACTTGCGGTCCACCAGACCGCCTGTTTTGACCATCCGCTTGTTCGGCTCGAACAAGCGGATGGAGGCATGCTTGGGCGCAGCAGGCGGTCCACCAGGCCGCCTGTCTCAAACGATGCGCACGCTTCCGGGAAGAGGGGGGGGGAGGAAGGAGGAGGAGGAGGAGGAGGAGGAGGAGGAGGAGGAGGAGGAGGAGGGGGAGGAGGAGGAGGAGGAGGAGGAAGAGGAGGAGGAGGGGGAGGAGGGGGAGGAGGAGGAGGAGGAGGCGGAGGACCAATGTGTAGGTCGCAGGGTGTTGCCCACCATCTAGTTCCATGCGCACTGTTTCTGTTCAGTGTTCCGTCTCACCGTGCTTTCCTTCCCGCGTTCGCCCCCATGGCCGGGTTCGGCCCCAGCCAGTGCAGAGAGGTCGTCCTGATGGGTGCACGTCCCTGGTCGACCTGAGCTGGCTCTCGGTGCAGAAAAGGCCGTCCTGATGGGTACACTGCCCTGGCCCTTCGGCATTGAGTTGGTGTTCGCGGCACGTCTTCGCAGACGTGGGCAGTCAATGTGGAGGTGCCCAGTCCGAGTGGCCGATGACCGCCTCCCCGATGGAGGTTATGATCGGAATATGCGTTCATGTCCAGAGTCATTTTTCATGGATGGGTCTTCGCTCAACTTTGCACGCGCATCCACTGATAACGCGTGCTGTCCTACTGGCGTCCTATGCCGAGAGGGCATACATTTCCCAGTTGTTCGGGACGGGCGTATCGTTCGTAGCATTGTTCGGTTTCCATGTCGGACGAGGAGGAGATGGAGGCTTTGCTAGCCCGCTTTTCATCTCAGCCGTGAGCAGTTCGGGAGTGGAGCCTCGTCCGCGCTCATGGAGCCAGGCAGACAAGCGACCCTGGCAATTTAGCTGCAGGGGTCGTTGGCGTCATTGTTTCATCTTTTTTGGCCTCCGCCCCATCGTACTTCCTCCTCTTCCTCATCCTCCCCCTCCTCCTCCTCCGCCTCCTCCTCCTCCTCCTCCTCCTCCTCCTCCTCCTCCTCCTCCCCATCCTTCTCCTCCAATCCTTGCTCTTGTCAATAACTCCTCCCTGTCGTACCCCGAGGCCAGTTTTTTGGGCCGGGCGTTTCGCCTGAGACTTCCTCACCGCTTATCACCCTGAAGCTTAACAAGCAACCACATCTTTACAGATGGAGGGCGGGTCATTCTCAAAATGTGGTTCTCGCTTTAGCGCCGCGTGCATTCGTCTAAACATGTTGCAGGGGTTTCACGGATTGAGGGCGGCTTTTTTCCAAAATGTGGCTCTCGCCTGGGTGCCGCGCGCACTCGTTTCAAAATATGCAAGAATTGCACGGATTCCCGTGGTCAGCGTACCAGAAAGAGTTTTTTGGGTGTATTCAGGCTTATAAGGGTGAAAGCTACGTTGATTCGCAACGTTGAAGTCCCAGGAATGGCCTTCTGGCACGGTTCAGGATCGCCAATACGCAACAGTCAGTTTGATCCGTGACGTTGGAATCCCGAGAACAACATTTTGGCATGTTTCAGGGTCTTCAAACGGTTGTCTTCCAGCGAACCGATGTATGGGGCCTATGAAGAGAGAGCTTGTAGGAAAGGGTGTTTCCAACATCGTTGATGACTCTTGGGTTTACACTGGTCCTCCTCCTCCTCCTTCTCCTCCTCCTCCTCCTCCTCCTCCTCCTCCTCCTCCTCCTCCTCCCCTTCGCCCTTGCCAGCAAGGCAAAACCAGCTGTGGTTCTTATTTAGCCTCCGATGTCTAATCGGTGGCCTTTCGGTTCCAAGCGGCGCTCTGCAATAGACATGTGACTTTGGGCGTTGCCTGGCACGTGTTATGTTTGAATTAGCGTGCGGCGTTCTACCCACATACTCTCATGTGTCTGTTGCGCGCCGACTGGGACACGTCCGCCGTGCCCGCAGTCGATCTTCTTTAGTCAGTTCAAGCTGAGTATGTACATCACCCAACGGACTGAGCCACCACTTGGCATCACTCAAGGAAGAGGGAGATCGCCAAGACGGAGCAAAAGAGGCCTCGAAGAATATCAAGACACGCCCAGACAGCCCAAGAAGGCACTAGAGGCATCCAAGAGGACCCCAAAAGCCTTCCAAGAGGCTCCCAGGAGGACCCGAGGCAGCCCCAGAATGTCCCAGCACCCTTAGTGTAGCTCCGAAAGGCCTCCAAGACCCCCACTTTTTCCGCATCATTCTCCTCATGCGCCTCCTCCTCCTCCTCCTCCTCCTAGATGTTTCTTCGTCGTCCTCCTCCTTGTCGCCTTCCTTCCTGTCCTCCTGATTGTCCTTCACGCTGGTCCTCACGTTGTCTTTCTCTTAGTCGTCCTCCCCGTCGCCCTTGTCCACGCCCACCTTCTTCTACTCGTCCTCCTGGTCGTCCTCATCCTGTTCGA